GAGGTCCCGGGGAAAAGGTGCTGTCCTGAAGGCAGGTCCTGAGGAACCAGCAGCACTGGCAGGTCCTTGCCCTGTGTGTGAAGGCGCTAAGGACCCGCGTCCTGGTGATATGGGTGTCTCTTCGATAACCTGGCCCCTTTCCTTTCTCAGGGACTCTCCACGACTGGAAAACTCTCTTTTTCTTATCTCTAATACAACTGCCTTCCTCCCCTTTTTCTGGCTCTGGGGAAAACACCCCTTCTGCAGAGGTTTTCCTAGCTTCACCTGAGAAGGCTCCTGGCTCTTGAAACTTGTGTGTTGGTGTGGGTGAGGGGGTCCTCATAAGGATATTTGCAGCAGTATAGGAGATCAGCTGGCCTCTAGGATCAGTGACCTGCGCTGGATAAGAGCTCAATAAATTTCAGCTACTATCATGCATTGTTTGCTCATAAATTCAGTCTGTTTCTTCCTGTGTTCCTTGTCTAAGGCCAAGCACCAGTGTGTGGAGTGTGAGAGGAGCTCAACAAATATGGTTAAATGGATGAGTGAAGGAATTCCCGAAGCTCAGCCAGGCCTTCAGTGTCTGAGCTGTCCAGGAGACTGGAGTTTCTCCAGGTCAGTCTGGCTCACAACTGGGGAAGCCTCCAAGCTGCTCTCCTACTCTTCAAAGCTCAGGATGGAGAATAAAAGAGAGAACTTGCATTTCCAGGCCTTAGCATGTGCCAATCCTCACCCCCAGCCTCCCTCACACTCACATGCTTACAATGTCATGTCCAAGACTTGCCCCAGTCCTCCCCCACCTTTCCGCTGATCTCTTCTCACCTCCTACAATATGGCTCTTGCCAGGTTATTTGAAGATACACATTTAGGGTTTTTCTTCCCCACCAGACTGGACCATCACTGAGTCCTGTAGTCTTTGCAGCCCTAACTCTGTGCCATGCATCTTGCTGGAGGTCAGAGATGCAAGACAAACAGGGACAGCAAAGAAAAGCCCTCTGAGTAGGAACATTTTAGGCTATGAGCAAACAGGATGAGCAAGACCCTGCCATATGGGGAGGAAGGAGGAGGGGACTGCAAAATTGAGGCCCAGAGGTGGAAATGGACTGGCTTGCTCTAGGAAGACCAGACAGAGTGGAGACCAGAAGGGTTGAAGGTGCTGAGTTAGAAATCTGGGCAGGGCTAGACTGCAGGCCCTGCAGGCACAGTCATTGGAGGTGGGGTTTAGTTCAGGCCTGTGAAAAAGAAGCAGGTATTCCAGAGAGGAGGCAGGTATAAGAGGTAGCAGGAACTAAGACCATCTTCACCAGGGCTCAGTGGAGGATGCAGGGCATGTTTCAGAGACAGGCTCAGCCATAGTGCCAGTGACAGACGGTGTTCAAATGGGGGCCAGAGACAAGCTGTAGGAGAGAGGAATAGATTATGGAAAACGGAGAATCCACGACTGAGATGGGGAGGCGGTTGGACAAGGGCTGGGTGGTGGGAGCAGGAGCTCAGTGTGGGCCTGGTTGAGTTTGCAATACCTATTAGTCACCCAGTGGGGACGCCAAATAGTGATGTGTGAACAGACTGCCAGCTGGACAGAAATGGGGTTCCTCTTTTCTTTGCACCCCAGGCATATTGGCCACAGCCCAGCACAATCTGGGCACCAAAGATTCAACAAATCTGACAAGCTAGCCTGAAAGGTTAAGTTTACAATCGACCTTTGCAGAACCACCAGAGGGCAGCACCATCCCACAGTCCAACCTTCCCAGGGTCAGGACCTGGCCCTGGGCCCTAAGCCTGGGGCTTCTCAGAGCCACTTTCCCAGGTTCCAGGAATCAATGAGGTGTGCCCTGAATACCAGCTCTCTGGAATGGCCCCAACCTCAGGCCTGGCTGGGGCTGTGGGTCAGGTTATGGGTGAGATGGCCAATCTGGGTTTTCAGGTGGTGGGGGGAAGGTGGGGCTGCCTTCTGGAGCTGGATGGCTGACATTTCTGAACCCACACACAGACTCTGGCCTGACAAGTTCATCAAGCAGCAGAATTTTTTTTTTCCCTTCTCTACTAGGGATGAAACCCACTGCCTTACTCATGCTAGGCGAGGAGTCTACCATTGAACTACATCCCCATATCCTTAGTTTATTTATTTATTTATTTTTAAAATTTTTTAGTTGTAGATGGACTTAATACCTTCATTTTTTATTTTTGCATGGTTCTGGAGATCGAACCCACTGCCTCACGCATGCTAGGCAAGCACCGTACCACTGAGCCATAACCCTGGCCCAGTTTATTTATTTTTAATATTTTTCTGGACAATGTCAGATGTAAATTTTATTTTTATTTTATTGATTGATTTATTTTTTGTGGTCCTGAGGATCAAACTCAGGACCTCATGCATGGTAGGCAAACACTTTACTACTGAGCCACATCCCCAACCCCTTTATTTTATTTTTTGAGACAGGGTCTGCTAGATTGTTCAGGCTGTACTTAAACTTGTGCACCTGGCCATAATTTTAAAAATAGGGGTCTTCTGTTCCAGAAAACCCAGGCCAGTGTGTGGCTGTACTTTCAGTCCCAAAGAGTCAGGGCAGGAGTTGGAGTTATGGCTTCGTGGTAGAGTGCTTGCCTGGCCTGGCATGCAGGGGGCACTGGGTTTGATTCTCAGCACCACATATAAACAAATAAAAAGGTCTATTGACAACTAAAAAAAAAAAAAAAAAAAAAGAGGGTAGGACAGTGGCAAGACATTACAGACCTACTGCTAGGTCATCCATCCCTGTTCTACCCCAAACTCCATGTGCCCCAAGGGCTCATTCATTCAGTCATTCCTGGATCACTCAGTCACTCACTCATTCATTCACTCACTCATCAAAAACTGACTGATGTCTTTCTTTGTCTGGTCCTGGACATGGTGGAAGAGATGAAACTCAGGAACATCAATTATGGTGGGATACAATGTGTACCTCCCCATACATCAACATTTCTGACATCCAGTGCATTTTCAAATTTTGATGCACACATGTGCATCAATCTTTACCTCCCACTGTCAAAACTTGCAATGTTGCATGTTGCAACTTAAATTAAGGAAACAGGGCCTAGTGAGTGACAGGAGTAGTGACTGAGATGTATATAGTTGGGGTCAGGAAGTGCTACCTGGAGGGGTTACATCTGAAAGGATGAGCAGGAGCTGGGTAGGGAAGAAGGCACCCAGATAGTCTTCCAGGCTCAGGGATAGCAGAGGCACAAAGGTGAGAATTGATGATTACTGAGGGAATTTCAAGTGCAGAGGATGGTGGCAAATTGAGCTGGAGAGGGGAGCAGGGCTCATTCATCCAAACCTTGACCCCCCCACTTGAAGATCCCCCACTTTCAGTAGTCCCAGAGGGCCTGAAGAGCTGCTGCTTGGTACTAAGTAGGAGGTGACTCCATCAGGTCTAGATTTGGGAACCACATCTCTGGTCAGAACCTGCATTAGGGCATGGCATGGGCATGTGGGAAGGTCAAGAAGATTCTCAAAAGGCCAGACAGGAGGCTGTGGTAAAGCAGGGAGAGGTGGGGGGAAGAATCAAGGAAAAAAAGCCTAGGGTTCTGGCTTGGGTATTGGAATGGGTGATGGCATCACCCACTGACAAGGGGACCTTGCCATCTCAGATTTGCTCTGCTGATCAAAGAATGCAGCCAGAAGTGCATGGGGAAGGCGTCCCTGCTTTGCAAAAGGTACCTGGTAGCTGGCCCATGAACTGACATGAGAATGGAGTTCTATGAGTCCTGGGCTGGGAGGAGGGGTCCTGCCATCTTAAGCAGAGAGGGACTCCATAGAGAGGCATGTTGAGATGGAGCTGCTTGCTGCCCTGAGATACACAGATTCCCCTGCTGAATGAACTCTCAAACAGGGGGATTCCCCTTGCCCAGGAGTAATGAGACCTTATAACCCCTCCTGGAAAAGGCTGGGGGAGGTCTGAGCCCTATGCTGTGAGATTATCATGAATGAGCCTCTGGATGGGGTGGTGTGGGGAAAGAAGCTGGGCCAAGTGTACTGGCCAGAGACCTGGGTCCACAAGGGTCCTTGATCCTGAGAGGGACTCCTAGGGTCAGGATCAAATCTGGAGCAGCATGGATAAGGGTTGGGTCTGGTGTGCACCTATGGTGACCTATTAAAAGTTCTAGCTGCTGGGTCTAGGATTCTGGTCTGGAGTTCATGGTTTGGTCTAGGACTAGAATCAAGGTTATGGTCTAAAGCCTGGATCCTGGGTCTCGGTGGAAATCTTGGGTTAGGAGTGTTTTGCAGGCCTGGGGCCAGCCTTGAGGTCTGGTTGTGGACCCAGGGCTGTGACCTAAGGTCTAAGGGGGGGCCCCACGGTCTCAGTCTGGGGTCCTGTTTGTTCTCTGAAGTCAGGGTTGTTATCCAAGTAGTGTCAGGATGGACTGTGGTGTCCGAGGTCAGGGAATCGGGTGTTATAGTCAGGGTCTGCGAACCAAGTTTCCGGATCATGTTCTGAAGTCTGGGTCTGGGGTCTTGGTCAGTGTCCAGGGTCCTTGTCGCCATCCACGCTGGGTCCCTTGTGGAGTCCGGGATCCGGAGATGCGATCCGAGGTCGTAGTCACGGTCAGCGTCTGGGCGGGTGTCTGGGGCCC